GCTTCTGCTGGACCCCTGGAGGTGCCCCTTCACTTTGCATTAGAGTCAAACTAAAGTCAGAAAAGAGGAAATCCAAGATTGTAAGACCTTTGTGAAGAACACTTTTTGAGGTTAGTGGTGAGCACTGTTGCTTCACTGCTGACTATGAATTCCAGGCAAGTGGCCCACTGTCTTTGACATACGCTGCAACCAACACAAAGATCTTATCATATTTGACTTGGCATTGCTGGCCAAGGTTCCTAGCTAGGATATGGCAAGGTACAAATATGGAATTTTTTTATTTCTCCTGTCCTTCTTAATCATGGCTTTCTGAAAGTAGGCTTTCATTTTTAAATACTTCTGGCATCACTGAAAAATCCACTGGAAACCCTTCAGAAAAGCATTCTTGTAGCACTAAATGCTAACTAGGCACTACCCGAGAGAAAAATGGAGGCTTAGCTGGAGCCCAGCATGTCAGTACAAAAGAAAAAGCTGAAGTATTTGCATCCACCAGCCAGAACTGCCAAGTGGATGATCCAACTTGGCCTCTTCCCGAGATCCCCAGTAACATAGGTACCAGTCTTCAGCCAATTCAAATCACTCCATGTGATATTAATAAACAGTTGAAGACACTGGATACTACAAAAACAAAGAACTCAGAGTTCATTCAGCAATACTACTGATGACGTAAGAGCCAGGACTACCGATGCCTTTTGTCTAGGTGTTCCAGTATAGCCACAGCACCGACAGCTACCCAGCAATATTGAAAATTCCCTAGGTACGTCCAGGTAGCAGAACAATCCAACAGTAGTTGTTGGAGGCCAATCATTCCAGTTTCAAGGAATTAGTGCAGGAGGTCTTCAGGGTAGATGTATTTGCTAACCAAGATGTTCAGAGATATTACTACACATCTCTAAAGCAGGTTGGATTTGAACAACAGGCCTCCCAGCTCAGAGGTAGGGATGCTACTACTGGACCACAAGAATCCACAGTTTCTCAGGATACTGTTCCAGTCCCAATAATGACCCACCATCCATCCTCAGGGCAGAACTGGGGATATTTCCTGGTGATCGCACAATGTTGAGCACCATTTGCAACATATATAGCAAAGACAGTCAGGGCTGGCATACTATAAACCCTGGACAGATGGCAAGTAACACCCACTCTAGAAGTGACAGGCAATGATCATCTCCAACCACAGAGAACCTAATATTCACCCCAAGTGTCAATGTGATTACCTCTCATTCTTTGAAACTCTAGAGAATACAGGCTGGTTTTGTCCAATCTCTCTTCATAGGACAGTCCTGCTACCTCTGATGAACTTTCATTCTACCCCTCTATGGGAATACTATTTTCTGAGATAAGGAGACCAAAACTCCACATAGTACTCCAGGTGTGGCCTAACCAAGCTCCTATCTTGCCATTACTGAATTCCCCATTATCAACATGCTGGGGACTTAAATGACCCAAGTGTTTCATCCAAGGCTAAAGCGTATTTTAAAGATAATGCGTTGAAGGGAAATGTTAATTAAATAAAAACATGTAGAAAGCCTTTTATTCTTGCATTGTAAAAACTAGAAATGTACAAACATGTGATCAGGAACAAACCTCACATATGACAATTAACCTTAAACTAAACTGAAGACTTTTACACAAAGCTGCTTTGCAGACTTAAAACTGCAGGGCAGTTAAAATCATTCTACAGAATGACAATAGTCCACTGAATGGATATTACTCTTATTATAGTATTGTACATTGTCTGATTTATTATAACAGTATCAGATCCACTGGTTTCTATAATCAGTACACAAACTGCCACATACACCACTGGAGTCAGTAAATTAGAAGATCAAATTACAACTCTAAACTCCCTGCCATTTGTACACAAAGTAGCTGGATTTTTGCTACAACAATACAAAACTCTAACTATTGTGGAGATGCATTAAGACCTTTGCACTGACTATGAAGTACAGTTAAAGCACATTGGGCTCGGATTTATCAAGTGAGTTGTTAAGACTGCTTCAAACTGAAAATTATTTTCTTTTTTAAAAATGTATTTGACCTGTCAAATTTTCCTCCCCTGGTATAGAACCTTGCTGGACTTTGATTCATAGGCTCAGGGTTTCCTGAATGTAAACCACGTGTGTTGGCTGAATGAAAACATCAGCAAATTATCAGTGGCTAGTATCTCCATGCAAAATAATGCTGTCCTTCCAGCCACAATCTTTGGCTAGCAATATCTGTTTATTTAACCAACTCCCAAAACCCTGTCTACCATCGATGAGGCACAAGTGAGGAATGTGATGGAATACTCCCCAGTTGCCTGGATAGGCAACAGTTCATCCATTTCACCAACACCTTCCACCCCAACCTTAAGTTCACCTGGACCATCTCTAATACCTCTCTCTCCATCTCTGGCAACCACCTAGAAACCGATATCCATTTCAAGCCCACCGACTCCCACAGCTACCTAGAATACATCTCCTCCCACCCACCTTCCTGCAAAAATGCCATCCCGTATTCCCAATTCCTTCGCCTCCGCCGCATCTGCTCCCAGGATGAGGCACTCCACTCCCGTACATCTCAGATGTCCTTGTTTTTCAAGGACCGCAACTTCCCCCCGTCAGTGGTCGAGAATGCCCTCGACTGTGTCTCCCGCATTTCTCGCAACTCATCCCTCACACCCCCTCCCCGCAATAACAACCAAAAAAGAATCGCCCTGGTCCTCACGTACCACCCCACCAACCTCCGGATCCAACGCATCATCCTCCGACACTTCCGCCATCTGCAATCCGACCCCACCACCAAAGACATCTTTCCCTCCCTACCCTTATCTGCTTTCCGGAGGGACCACTCTCTCCGTGACTCCCTTGTCCGCTCCACACTCCTCTCCAGTCCCACCACACCCGGCAGTAAGTGCTACACCTCACCCCCATCCCAGGCCCCAAGAAGACATTCCACATCAAGCAGATGTTCACCTGCACATCTGCTAATGTGGTATACTGCATCCACTGTTCCCGGTGTGGCTTCCTCTACATCGGGGAAACCAAGCAGAGGCTTGGGGACCGTTTTGCAGAACACCTACGCTTGGTTCGCCCTAAACAACTGCACCTCCCAGTTGCGAACCATTTCAACTCCCCCTCCCATTCCTCAGAGGACATGTCCATCCTGGGCCTCCTGCAGTGCCACAACGATGCCACCCGAAGGTTGCAGGAATAGCAACTCATATTCCGCTTGGGAACCCTGCAGCCCAATGGTATCAATGTGGTCTACACAAGCTTCAAAATCTCCCCTCCCCCTACGCATCCCAAAACCAGCCCAGCTCGTCCCTGTCTCCCTAACTTGTCCTTCCTCCCACCTCAAGCCCCAACCCCATCTCCTACCTACTAAACTCATCCCGCCCCCTTGACCTGTCCGTCCTCCCTGGACTGACCTATCTCCTCCCTACCTCCCCACCTACACTCACCTTTACTGGCTCCATCCCCGCCTCTTTGACCTGTTTGTTTGTTTCCTCTCCACCTATCTTCTTCTCTATCCATCCTCTATCCACCTCCCCCTATCTCCCTATTTATTTCAGAACCCCCTTCCCCTCCCCCATTTCTGAAGAAGGGTCTAGGCCCGAAACGTCAGCCTTCCTGCTCCTATGATGCTGCTTGGCCTGCTGTGTTCATCCAGCTCTACACCGTGTTATCTCTGCCTGGATAGGTGCAGCTCTAACTCAAAATGTTCGACATTATCTAGGACAAAGCAGCCTGCTTGCTCAGCGATCCATCTGTCACCATTCACGCCCTTAATCACAGAGGCATAGTAGTAGCTGTGCAAACCATCCACAAAATAATTGCCTCAATTCATCAAAACTTGTTCAAAAGCAGCTTCCAAACTTGTGACCTCTACCAAAGAGGACAAGAGCAGCAGATAAGTTGGAACACCATCACCTACAAGTTCCTCTTCTCTCCAAACCACTGACCATCCTCCAAATGTACTGAGATAACAAGGTGTAGAGCTGGATGAACACAGCAGGCCAAGCAGCATCAGAGGAGCAGGAAAGCTGACGTTTCAGGTCTGGACTGACTGCGTTCATCCAGCTCTACACCTTGTTATCTCAGATTCTCCAGCATCGGCAGTTCCCACTATCTCCAAATGTACTGTTGTTCGTTCTGTGTCACTGGGTCAAAATCCTAGAACTCGCTCCCTAACAACACTGTGGACGCATATACAGCAACTGGTTGAAGATGACAGCTCACCAGTTTCTCAAGGGCATTTAAGAGTTGGGCAATAAATGCTGGTCTTGCAAAATGCTTATATCACAATAAAGGAACAGTGACTTTGCGTTTGTCTCCCTCAAATGTTATCTGTGACCGAAGGGAAGACAACTTATGAGGCATCTATTAATGTAATTCAGTCATGCCTTCTCTGTGCACCACGTTGTTTTCAGAAATAATGCATCTCCAGGAATGTGACAAGTGAGACAAGTGAAAACATGAGCTAGCTGTTAGAACTACCAGAGGTAGTGGAAGTTAGGCTGGAGAGTACTCATTTCCAGGGCAGTCCACAAATCCACGTAGTCAGGAAGGCAGTTGGGTCACAGATTGGGCACAGTGCGAGCCTGACTCCACTGTGAATCCAAGGTCAGGAGGGGAAAGAGACAGAAACAGAGAGGGGGTTAGGGAGAGGTCAGAGTTGGGGGTTAGATATCAGGAAGGGAAGGAGGACAATGTCTGAGGGAAGGGAGATGTCAGGAATGGAGAGGCAGGGGAAGGAGATGTCAGGGAAAGGGTGAGGTGGATGTCGGGGAGGGAGGGGAGTATGCTCGGTGCGGTCACCTTGACCGCAGCCAGAATCCGCATGGCCGGGGTTGGTGGGGGTTAGTGGGAGGGGGTGTGGTTGGGGTGCGGTGGTGGTAGGCCAGCCCCAGGCCGCTCCCTTTCTCCCCCTAGAAACCACATGATGGGACAACAGCTGGGCGTGGGCCCCCGGGGCCGACTGGAAATCAGGTCAGGGGCCGTGAGGTGGTCACTTACTTGAAGACATGCTCCGAGGTCCAGATCTTCATGTTGTCGCGGATCCTCCTCAGGCCAGGAACGAGCTCCGGTTCAGCCTCGGCCAGGTCCCGCCGGCCGGCCCCTTACGTCAGCACGCGCTCGCGCGATACCCCCGTCGTCGGCGCACCCCCGACGTCAGTACGTCATTTCGCTGACGTCCGCACGCTCTTGTGCGTCACACCCGGCGTCCGCGCATCCCCGACGTCCGCGCATCCCCGACGTCAGTACGCCGAGTTTCCTGGCTGTTTTTCTAATGGCCTTCTGGGTGAGTGAGTCCATTTGTATGTCCCTGCCTGTGACTTTCACAATTTTGTACAGTCTCAGCTTCCTCTGTTCTGAGGACAACACCACCAGCCCTGTCTAGTGTCTGACACACAGGCAGAGAATTGTAGACAGCCTCTGTGTAGAGAAACAGAGTTCATATTTCGACCAGAGATAACAAGGTGTAGAGCTGGATGAACACAGCAGGCCAAGCAGCATGATAGGAGCAGGAAGGCTGACGTTTCGGGCCTAGACCCTTCATCAGAAAATTTCGACCCTTTATTAAATGTCTGGTCTCTTCACACCATTCCAGGACACATCCTGGTCAATCCCCTCTGCACCCTCTCCAGTAATACAGTCACATCTTTCCGATATCGAACAACATTTGATGCAAAGTCACAAGATTATCCACACTCCATGAGCAAAAGTTTGGAGAGCTACTTACATCGGGGGGGGGGGGGGGGGGGGGGGGGAAATGCTTGTCAGAAGATATTCAGATTTCGCGAGGAAAATCCAGGCTTAATTAGGGCGTTTTCCACTTAAAGCATAACAATAAAGGGTGTAACTGGAGTAGCAAGGATATTGAGGTTGTGGTGTTGGGAAGGAGTTACGTGAACAGGGAGCGGTGAGGCGCTAGCAGGGTAGCAGTCCATCACTTGCTGCTCCTGCTGTTTGGCACACAAGCTGTCCTGTTTTGGAGATTGACATTTTTTTTGGTATGTCTGATGCTGCTCCTGGCATACACTCCTGTGTTTTTTTTAAAAATTGAACAAGGTAGACTTGATAGAGGGGGTATGCCAAGCCATGAGGTTACAGATTGTGTTGGGCTATTATTCTGCTGAAGACCCACAGCACCTTATGGATGTCTAGACTTGAGTTGTTAGATCTGTTTGAAGTTTATCCCATTTATCACATTGATAAAGCCACACAGCATGGTGACACATTTAGATTGTGAAGATGAGGTTTTGTCTCTATAATGACCACCACACAGTTCGCCTTACTGATATTGTCCATAAGACCATTGAAATAGGAATGGGGGTAGGCTGCTCAGCCATTCAGTAGGATCATGGTGGATCTGACATTCTCATATCCACTTTCCTGTATTTTCTCGATAGCCCTGATTCCCCTATTAATCAAGAATCTGTCTGTCTGAGCCTTAAATATACACAAAAACACTGTCCCCTCTGTGGCAGGGAGTTCCAAAGTCTCTTGATCCTCAGAAGAAATTCCTCCTCACCTCAGTATTATTGGTGCCCCTTTAGTCTGACAGATCTGTCATGGACAGATTAAGATGAAGAAGGCTTTTCCCTGTAACAAAAACAAATTACTGGAGAAACTCAGCAGGTCTGGCAGCATCTATGGAGAGGGAGCAGTGCATTAAGTCCAGTAACCTCATTTAGAACTGATTTCTGTTTTTGTTTCAGATTCCAAGCATTCACAGTTCTTTGTTTTAATTTTTTTTTTCTGTTGTTGATTCCCTCTCATCTGGTATAGACCCAATCTAGCAGCAATGTTCTTTAGGATTTGACCAGCTTGATCAGTAATACTGCTGCCAAGACACTTTTGGTGGTGGACATTGAAATTCCTCACCCAGAGTACATTCTCTGACCTTGCCACCCCCAATGCTAGCTCAACGGCCAAAGCAAGGTATGTACGCAACAAATGTCTTTGTCCATGTTTGATCTGATGCCATGGCAGTTCAGGGGCTCCTTGATCAATGTTGAGGATGACCAACGCAACTCCTTCCCAACTGTATACCAATGTGCCGCCACCTCTGCTGGGTCTGTCCTGCTGTTGGGACAGGTCATACCCAAAGATGGTGATGGTGGTGTCTGGGACATTGTCTGTAAGGTGTGATTCCATTAGTACGACTGTGTGTCAGGCTCTTGCTTGACTAGTCTGAGACAGCTGTCCCAATTTTGGCACTAGCTCCCAGATGTTCGTAAAGAGGGTTTTGCAGAGTTGACAGCACTGTGTTTGCCCTTGTTATTTCCTGTGCCTGAGTTGATGCCAGGTTGGTTTGTCCAGTTTTGTTTCATTTCTCACCGAATATTTGATACAGCCGAGTAGCTTACTCAGCCACTTCAGAGGATAACTGAAAGTCAACCACATCATAGGTCTGGAGTAGAAGTCTTTACATTTATTTGGAAGCACAGACCGATCTTCAGTTTAATGTCTCATAACTGATACTTCCAAAAGTAGAGCATTCTTAGCGCTGCATTAGGGAATCAGCCTCACATTTCAACCTGTTACTTTAAGTAACCACTGAGTCGCATCTGACAGATTGAGTCTAGGTAGTAAGAAACCAGTGGAAATCTTGGTGTAGTGGGAGTATCCCTCTGTCTGCCTGTAATGCCAGGTTTGAGTACCATGCCAGGACTTGGTGGCTTAGTAAGCTGTAGTCACAACATGACCGTGCAAGTTGTGAATCAGCCTGTAAATCCTTCCAAATGCCTGAAGGCAGGCAGTAACAGTGGGGGAGTCTCCTGGTCAGTCATTCTGCAGAAGGCAACTACAAACTACTCAGTACTTTGCCCATAAGCATGTGCCAATCCAATGGAAGTCCACGAGCCAACCTTCAGAAATGAGGAAAGAATTCAGCAAGAAACCAACAAAAGTTCAAGAACATTTTATTAAAATTTCTGGAAGTTTAATTTTATCAACACTAACATATCAAAAATGTACAGTAAATCAGACAATGTGGGCAGACTTTACCCAGAGAAAAGACAAAGCCACCTTATTTTAACCTTCAGGGAATGTCTACAGACACAATGTTGACCCCCCCCCCCACCACCATGACAACCAGCAGAAATAGCTTGATCCCTACTCTGTGCCCAATTCACAACAACACTTAAAGCTAACATGGAACAAATTTGTTCCCTCTTTATTCCTTGCCTAAAATCAACCAATCTCTCTACCATCCAGCAATCCAGAAATATATTGAACCTTACACTGTCTACTTTGGTGAGTTTTCCTGCTCACCAATCTGAAACTCTACTAGCCTTTGCAGGGGAGCGTGACTCTTCTCAATAGCTGAATGTCTGAACATTTATCCTGGGCTCTTCTTTGTACATAATTAGCCTGAATACAAAAGGGACCAAGCCAGATTGGCAGCATTTATTACAGCAGAGAGTAATTCAAGTCTAAGAGCAAATTTTAGAGGAAAATCTTCAGTAAAGACAGTGCTTGCTTCACCTTTCTATCTTCATTAATCAGCGAGCTGGCAGATGTGTGTGGAGCCTTAGGATCCTATTAATGGAGGGGCTGATGCTGTAATAAAGATGCTGGTTTTCATAGCACAGAGAACTATTCAGCCCTTCAAGCTCATGTTGGTTCTTTGAATTCACTAAGTCTCATTCCCCCACTCTTCTCAAAACTCTGCATCGATTTTGATTATCAAATATATATCCCATTTTGTTTTAAAGTTACTATTGAATCTGCTTGCAATATTCTCTTAGATTCATTCGACATAACATGATAGTTATTCGGGTTAAAAGAGAGACTTTCCACCAAAACCCCCTTTACAATAGCAGGGAGAAGGTATAAAGCTAATGGCCCAGAAACTGAGTGGGATTTTTGGGTGGTGAACTGTTAGCAATCATTGTCATTGCCACTTTGAAACTGACAACCTGGGGATTTAGCACAACTGCAAATTAATGCAGAAATCCTGATGTTGTGGTCTGTCATTGACAGCTCTGTCATGAGGCACATAATGGACCAAGAACAAAACAAAGTTGCTGGAAAAGCTTTACAGGTCTGGCAGCATCTGTGAATGAAAAAACAGAGTTAACATTTCGGGTCAGGTGATCCTTCCCCAGTTCTGAGGAAGGGTCACCAGACCTGAAATGTTAACTGTTTCTTCCTTCACAGATGCTGCCAGACCCGCTGAGCTTTTCTAGCAACTTTGTTTTTGTTCCTGACGTACAGCATCTGCAGTTCTTTCGGTTTTTATTACATAATGGGCCAAGTCTTACCTGCTAACCTGAGCCAGTGATCAATGAAATCAATTGAGTTGGTGAGAATTTCCAGTCTCATCACTGTTGAAAACCTTAAGTTAAGCCTGATTCCCCAAGGTGTAACAGGGGTTTTCAAGAGTGATCCGAGTAGTAATTAATACTGAACAATTGATTTGGCTTTGAGCAAGTAATTTTATGATTGTGGAATATTGTTTAATGCCTCCATAATTGTTAATAACATTGTTTAAAATTTAAAATAATCTATTTTTAAAGTTTGTTCGTGATACTCCACTTCCTATCTTACTTTTGTTTGCATGCCCCAACTCAGTGATTGGATCATCAATTTTCATTTTCTGCCTGTGAGAATCTTTAAAACGAAGTGCTGTTTAGATGGCTTAATGATATCACTGTGGCTCAACCTCAGACATGTACAATCAATTGCTCATCAAAAACAGTTAGAAGTTCTCACCCACAGATTGCTAGAACTGTCTAACAAGGTGCTTTGCTGTGAACAAGAAGGTCTGGGACAACACCACAGTAGCATATGAAGGATGGACAGTTCAGGGGCTGTACTCAGGACACTTTCCCATGGTAAGAGAGATAACAAGGTGTAGAGCTGGATGAACACAGCAGGCCAAGCAGCATCAGAGGAGCAGGAAAGCTGACGATTCGGTCCTAGGCCCTTCAGAAAATCCATGTGTCTGATTGCCCCAGATTTACAAGAGAAATAAAATCACAGTAAACAACATGTGGCACAGCAGCAAAGGTCAGAAATGGCAGAACATACAATTTAAAGTTGCACACTCTCCCTAAGGCTCAGCCTTCGAACATTTCATTTCTTATGTTGGACAAATATTTGTTGCTAGAAAGTTGCTGAATCATTTTAAGATAGAAGAATTTCATTTGTGTTTCTAATGTCACCTGTAACATACTTAAACAGGTAGCATTCATAATACTACCCCGGGTTAAAATCAAAACCCGACTAAATTTTCAAGCTAGGTGCAGGACCCATGAATTTGTCAGTTTTCAGAAATTGTCCATTTTGTGATTTTCTAGTTAATTATTTCCAGTGCCTTACAAACAACAGAAGCACTGTTACCCGCCCACCCCGTCGACTTTGGGTAGCTAACCATAGTGACATGCCAATAACTACAAAGAGGCTGGGCCTCAGGAGTGAATCCTTAGGAGTGTGCCAATAATGAAAGGGAGTACTTTAATATTTATAGATAGGTCTCAAACACAGAAAAGACTTGGTTTAAGAGTGTGTCAGGAGGCAATAACCCTTTCAGTTTGGAAGTGATGTTTCATGAATCGCTCACAGCTCTCCAACATCAACTCTCAATCCTTCAAAGTATTGCCTCAAAACAAACTTGAAACTCTTCCTTTATTTAGGTGCGCACTTGTCCAGCAACATCACCTCAATCCTTAGATTTCTTGGTGCAGTTCATCTTGTGTCAGTCTCAGTATGGCTCGTTATGAAGGAAACGGCTGAAAAACGTAAATGCAGCGAGAGGTTTGTCTGTTGGCACCATGTGACCTGCTCCCTGTCAAAGATGGGACAAAATGAATGAAATACCCTGTTGCAATGCAATGCCCAATTATTCAAATCTATTTTCTTCTTCTAAACTTCCTCATTTGCTACTGGAGTGACCAACTCAGTCTCTTGATGCGATCAAATAATCATTCTGTGCAAAAACAATGGAGGCACTGATTTCAATTCTGTGCAAAGGCATTGAGAGATTTGTTTTTAAAAAGCATGGTAAAGCATATGAACATACAAAACAGAAGTAAAAATTGGCCATTTAGCCTCTCAAGTCCACTCCGCCATTCAGTAAGGACATGGCTGACTTGTTTGTGTTTTGAATTCCACGTTCTCATCTACCACCTCAAGTTTTGATTCTCCTGCCTAAACAAGAAAGTGTCTTCACCTTAAACATGATAGGTTAGCTCAGTTGGCTGGACAGCTGGTTTGCGATGCAGACTGATGCCAACAGTGCAGGTTCAATTCCCTCACCGGCTGAGGTTACCATGAAGAACCCACTTCTCTACCTCTCCCTTTGCCTGAGGTGTGATCACCCTCAGGTTAAACCACCACCAGACGTCTCCCTCTGATGAGAGAGCAGCCCTAAGGTCCAGTAACACTGGCGACTTTATTCAAAAGACACCCCCTCCATTGCCTTCTGAGGCAGAAAGTTCCAAAGCTGCACAACTCAAAAAAAAATGCTCATCTCAGCCCTAAAAGAGTGACCCTTAATTTTTAAAACAGTGCCACCTAGTTCTGGACTCGCCTCCAAGAGGAAACATTCTTTCCAAGTCTAGCTTGTCAAGATCAGGATCTTTTGTATACTTTGATGGAGTCATCGTTCACTCTTCTGAATTCCAGTGGAAATAAGCCTGGTCTTTCCAACTTTCCCTCAACCTGTTCAATCCAGGTATCAATCTAGTAAAGTTCCTCTGATCTGTCTCCAATGCACTTACATCCTTCCTTAAAAAAGGAGACCAAAATTGCACATAGTATTTCTGAAATGACAATTCACTGTAAAACTAAAACATCCTTATTTGTATGTTCAATTCCCCTTGTAATAAAGGGCAGCACCCAATTAGCCTCAATTACTTGCAGTACCTGCCTACTGTCATGTATTAGAACACCTAGATCCCATTGCAGAATTCTACAGTTGTTCTCCATTTGATCAACACTTGATTTTTATTCTTACTACCAAAGTGACCAATTTCACATTTTTTCATTATACTCCACCTAGAAGACTCTTTTTTTGTTGCTCACTTAATCAACATGTCTGTATGCATTTTTCTTATGTCCTCTTCACAACATACTTTTCTATTTATCTTGGTGTCATTCGTGAATTTAGTTACAATGTTTTTGCTCCCCTCTAAGTCATTAAAAATGTTGCAAAAGTGGAGTCAGCACTGACTTGTCCAATCCTGCCAATCAAAGAAAGACAGTTTATGCAATACAGTTTTCTGCCAGTCAATTATATATCCCTGCCAGTCTGTTACAGCCTGCATCACTCGCTCCTGCTTCACACAATAATGTTCAAAATGACATCCTGACAAATACTTTCTTGAAATCCAAGTGCAGTATGCCTACAGGTCACCCTTTATCCACAACATGTTACACCTTCAAAGAGCTATCAATAATTTAGACAGACATTATTTCCTTTTCACATGCTGACTTTTCCTGATCACATTGAGATTTTATTCCCGCTCACCCCCACAGTGCCCAGTTATAACCCGCTTAAAAATCTATTCTAACACCTTCCCCACAGACATCAAACTAACTGGTCTATAGTGTTGTTTTCTGCTCCCTTGCTTCTTGAATGGAGGAGTTATATTTGCTACTACTTCGTCTGATGGAACCTTTCTAATTTTCAAACATTTGTTGAATATTAACCTCAACTTATCTACAACCTGATTAGTCACCTCATTTACGACACTAAGCTGAAGTCCATCTGGAAACATTTCATGGAATTTCACAGAGGTAGTATTGAGGTGGTGGGGAGGCTGCAGAAGGATTTGGACAGGTTAGGAGAGTGGGTGGCAGATGGAGTACAACACGGGAAAGTGTGAGGTCGTGCACTTTGGTAAGAAGAATAAAAGCATGGACTATTTTCTAAATGAGGAGAAAATTCAGAAGTCTGAAGTGCAAAGAGACTTGGGAGTTCTAGTCTAGGATTCTCTCAAGGTAAACTTGCAGGTTGAGTCAGTAGTCAGGAAGGCAAATGCAATGTTGGCATTTATTTTGAGAGGACTTGAATATAAAAGCAGGGATGTACTACTGAGGCTTTAAAAGGCTCTGGTCAGGCCACATTTGGAGTATTGTGCACAGTTTTGGGCTCCATATCTCAGGAAGGATGTACTGGCCCTGGAGCGGGTTCAGAGGAGGTTCATGAGAATGGTCACAGGGATGGAAAGCTTAACATATGAGGAATGTTTGAGGACTCTGGAACTATACTTATTGGAGTTTCGAAGGATAAGGCAGGATCTAATTGAAACTTACAGAATACTGAATAGCCTGGACAGAGTGGATGTTGGGAAGATCTTCCATTGGCAGTAGAGACTAGGACCCGAGTGCACAGCCTTAGAGTAAAGGGAAGACCTTTTAGAATGGAAATAAGGAGAAACTTCTTCAGCCAGAGAGTGGTGAATCTATGGAATTTACTGCCACAGAAGGCTTTGAAGGCCAGGTCATAGAGTACATTTAAGACTGAGATAGATAGGTTCTTGATTATCAAGGCGATCAAGGATTACAGGGAGAAAGCAAGAGAATGGCGTTGAGGAACTTATGGGCCGAATGGCCTAACTTCTGCTCCTATGTCTTATGGTTATCAGACAATAATTTCCACCAGAGTTTGGTAATAGATTCTTCAGTGGAAATGGGCTGGGATAAGTGGGGAGGTTTGAAGAGCTGAATTCAAGAGCTGAGGGCGTAGGTAGGCAAAGGAAGGTAAATAAGGGGCCAGAATTGGAGGAACAGAGAATTCATGAAGGGTTTTAGGAAGTTACACTGATAAGGAGAGTTGGGACTACACACAGGAATTTGAACTCAATTGCAACGCCAGATTGAGTCCAATCAGCAAGCTCAGTGGCAGTAGATGAATGGCGGGAGGATTTGCTTTGCATTAGGATGTAGAAAACAGTGTTAAGGATATGCTGAAATATACAGAACATCTACAAGGTTGAGTGTTTATGCTGATGGGGCAATTCATTCTTTGCCTTAGCTTTGAGGCCGTCTGTCACCTCCTACTTGTCCTGGTTCAGATCAGCATAGTTGACTCAGACTGTGATGGACTAGGTCCATCTGCTTAAGCCCACCCCATTAGCCACATGCCAGCTGCAAGTGATCTTCAACTTCACTGTTTGGAGGCAGATATAAATACTGGACAGGTTCTAATTCATTATTCAAGAAAAGCAAAGCAATGAAAATCAGAAACAAACAGGTCAGGCAGCATCTATGGAGAAAATTTCATTGACATTTGATGCAATGGCCCATTTCATCAAAATAGGAAAACAAATTAGATTGAGAGGTGAGAGTTAACAAAGGCAAGGGAAAGAGGAAGAGGAGAAAGGAAGGTGTGTGAAAGATAGAAACCAGGATTAAATGACAACAGGAATGACGACTAAAAACTAAACTGAAAAAAATATAATGAAGTAAAATATCAAAAGATGCCATGAACTATTAGAAAAGCCACAATGCTGACAGGGAGGAAGTTCCAGCATTTTGACCCAGTGACAGTGAAGGAACAACAATATATTTCTAAGGCGGGATAGTGAGTAGTTTGGAGGGGAACGTGTAACTGGTGGTGTTCCCATGTATCTGCTGCCCTTGTCCTAGATGGTAGAGGGTGCAGGTTTGGAAGGCTGCTGTCAAAGGAAACTTGGTGAGTTACTGCAGTGCATCTTGTAAATGATAGTGTGTCTGGAAATAAACCCATTTAACATGACAGTAGTGCCACACAATGTAATGGAGGATATTCTTAATATGAAGGCATGACTGAGAGGTGGTCACTCCTACTGACATTGTCATCAGATGTATCTACAACAGATAGATTGGTGAGGATGAATCAAGTAGGCCATTCTTAGTCTTCCCAGGCCACCAAGGACCTAGTTGGGCAGAGATAGTATGACTGAAACACACTTGGTGGTGAACACTGGGTGCATTCTGTTCAACATGTAGGAGTATAGATTCATCAGCTTGGTAAGGGCGGTAGGTGATAACTAGCAGATTACTTGTGTTTGACCTGACTCCACAGAAATCATGGGATCCAAAGCCAATGTTGAGGGCAAATTCCCCTGACTGTATACATTGTACCACCACCTCTGAGTTGACCTGCTCGTGAGACAGGACATACCCAGGGATGTTGATGGTGACATGTTTGGCATTGGGGTGAAAGTAGGAGTCCACAGGTATAACCACAATGAGCTGTGCTTGACTGGTTTAAATGACTGCTGTTGTGGAATGTAGCAGAGGCTACAATCTGAAACAGTGAACTCAACGTTAAATCCTAAGGAACGTAAACTATCCCCAAAAGATGAAATTCTATCCCTCAGATAATTGAATTTTTCTTTGCCTCCCCTAATCTGTTAGCTATGAACTGTTAAATCTCAAAGTTCTTGCAGTGTTTTGCAAAGACATGGATTATAAACATTTCCCGTTTTCTCTGTCCACAGACATTGCCATACCTGTTGAACATTTCCAGCATTCCTTGCTTTTATCTAATACTGGGACCATAGGAAATAGCAGGACAAGCAGGCCATTTGGCTCCTCAAGCCCAGTCTATCATTCAGTCAGTTTGTGCTGGACCATCTACCTCAGTCATTTTCCTGCACAACCCCCATATCTCTCAGTAACTTTAATATCCAGAAGTATTATTCACACCTAGGTGGCCATACCTTTATTGTCAAGAAAGTGAGGTTGCCAAACTCTTTGACAAATCCGCCCACCTGTTCACCATTCCCATCATTATACAGCCAGGTCCGACGGTTCACCGTCACCTAAGGGGAAAACAAAACAGGTTGACACAGAGACCAAATTTCCATTACAGTAGACCCAGGTCTGACAATGCATTGTGAACAAGGTCAGAAGGTAGAGTTGTTTTTTTTTTAAATTATTCATTCATGGGATGAGGGCATCACTGACTACTCTAGCATCTTTAACCCATCCAGGGGGCAGTTAAGAGTCTACCACATTGCTGTGGGTGTGGAGTCACTTGTAGGCCAGACCAGGAAAGGATGGCAGTTTCCTTCCCTAAAGGACATTAGTGAACCAGTTGGACTTTTCATGACAATCGACATGAATTTATGGTATTCAGTAGACTTTTAATTCCAGCATCTCCTGGAATTCAAATCCACATCCTCAGAACATACCTAGGTCTCAGAATTGACAGTCCAGTAATAATACTACTAGGTCATTGCCCTCCCATTACCCAGTCTTAAGCATAAAGTTTGCTTTGCCCAGATTCTAGAGAGATTCCAAAACCTGCAGCTCCTGCACTGCCTCAGGTGACTCCTCCATCTGCAAACAAAAGACTGAGATAGCAAGAACTGCCGATGCTGGGGTCAGAGACAACACAGTGTGGAGCTGGAGAAGCACAGCAGGCCAGGCAGCAGAGGAACAGGAAAGTTGACATTTCGGGTCGGGACCCTTCTTCAGAAATGGGGAGGGGGAAGGGAGCTGGGAAATAAATAAAGAGGAGGGGTTGGGCTGGGGAAGGTAGGTGGGATGGTGTCAGCAGTCATCAAAAATGCCCTCTTGCATTTCCTGTACTTCTGCCTTCATACCCCCCCCAAAATAAAGACAGAATCCCCCTTGTCCTCACATATCATCCCACCAACTTCCACATCCAGCGCATCATTCTTCGCCACCCACAATCTGACCCCACAACCAAAGAAATATTTCCCTCCCCACCCCTATCTGTTTTTCATAGGGACTGCTCTCTCCACGACTCCCTTGTCTGCTCCACATTCCCCACTAGCCCCATCATCCCCAGCACCTTTCCCTGCAACCACAGGAAGTGCTACACCTGCCCCTGCCCCTGCACCTCCCCCCTCACCTCCATTCAAGGCCCAAAACAAACCTTTCACATCAGACAGGGGTTCACCTGTACATCCATCAACTTGGTCTACTGTATCCACTGTTCCCGATGTGGCCTCCTCTGTATCGGTGGGACCAAGCGAAGACTTGGAGACCGTTTTGTACGGTATCTGCGCTCGGTACATGACAGACGACAACATATTCCAGTTGCCAACCATTTTAACTCCCCCTCCCACTCCCTGGGTGACATGTCCATTCTGGGCCTCCTCCAGTGTCACAACGACACCACTCGCAAACTGGAGGAGCAGCACCTCATATTCCACCTTGGGAGCCTACAACCCGATGGCCTAAACACGGAATTCACCAGTTTTAAAATCTCTCCACCCCCCAGCCTCATCCCACGTCCAACCCTCCCTCTCATCCCCACTTCCTTAACCGGAGACCACCCGTCCATCTTCTCTCCCACCTATCTGCCCCACCCATCTCACTGACCAATCCCCACTACTCCCTACCTCCATTCACCTATCACCATCCCACCACTCCTCTCTCTATTTATTTGTGAGCTCCCTTGCCCCTCCCCATTTCTGGAGAAGGGTCCCAACCCGAAACATCAACTTTCCTGCTCCTCTGATGCTGCCTGGCCTGCTGTGCTCCTCCAGCTCCACACTGTATTGTCTCAAAAAACTGAAAGCTCATGATTACTGATAGCCAACTGGCACTATTTCTGTCCCCTTTGTGGTTACAGCCACATGCAGCACTGGATTTGATCCAGCAGTTGATCCATTTAAAGGCTGAGCAATGTGGGAGAGGCAATGGCCCAGTGGTATTATTGCTGGACTGTTAATCCAGAGACCCAGGCAACATTCTGGGGACCCGGGTTTGAATCCCGCCATGGCAGATCATGGGATTTTAATTCAATAAAATATCTGGAATTAAGAATCTAATGACGACCATGAATCCATTATTGGAAAAACCCATCTGGTTCACTAATGTCTTTTCAGGAAACTGCAATCCTTACCTGGTCTGGGCTACATGTGACTCCAGACCCACAGCAATGTGGTTGACTCTTAACAGCCCTCTGGGCAATTAGGGATGGGCAATAAATGCTGCCTAGCCAGCGACACCCTCATCCCATGAATGAATAAGAGAAAACAAAAGCAAGATGGCTCAAAGTCTGGATAAACTTTGTTAAATAAAGTATTTGCAATAAAAGCAATAACATTAGATTGTAGACTTGCTCGACAAGCCAGTGTGTTTGGTTGCAAGACGTTTCGTCACCTTGCGAGTGAGAATTGGTCGTGTTTCTTGGTGTTAGTGTATCTTTATTGCCAGTTTTCTTCCAGTTTGTCCTATGTAATATTTTTCACAGTCCTTGCATGGTATTTTGTATATTACATTAGTTTTATTGGTTGTGGGTATGGGATCCTTTACATTCATCAGTAGTTGTTGGAGGGTGGTTGTTGGTTTATGGATTACCCCGATACCTCGGGGTCCGAGTAGTCTTGGGGTCAACTCTGAGATGTCTCTGATGTACGGTAGGGTGACTAGTGTGTCTGGCCTCGTTGCGGTCTGTCGCGGGCATAACGGTGGAACGTGCTTTTTGGCAATCCGTTCCTTTCAAAACTCCGTATAAGTGCTCCTGTTCTGCTTTGCACAATTCCGGATTGCTGGAGTGTGTTATGGCCCCTTTGAATAATGTCTTGACGTAGCTCCATTTATGGGTGTTGGGGTGGTTGCTAAAGTAATTAAGTATCTCCTCCATATACTTCAATTCTCACTGGTCTCAATACACACAGACAAAGGAGGACACAAATTCGACTGGGACAACAGACCCATAATAGCATGAGCCAAACAGAGACATGCCAGGGAATTTCTGGAGGCCAGGCATTCCAACCAGAATTCCATCATCAAACATTGAACTGGACCCGATATACAAACCACTAAAAAAACAGAACTGGAAGTAATGCCAACCACTCCAGCAAACCCAGGCATATAAATAACAAGCAGGACAGAACACCAACGCTTCACCAGAGGCACACTGACGATGTTACCTAGTATGGTGAGAAAACACCTGCAACCAAACACAACGGCTCAGTAAGCATCCACAACCCAAGCTACAAATCTTCGCAAAAACTTTAAGCAATAACATTCTTCATAGATAGTAGGAACCGCAGATGCTGGAGAATCTGAGATAACAAGATGTAGAGCTGGATGAACACGGCAGGCCAAGCAGCATCAGAGGAGCAGGAAAGCTGACGTTTTGGGCC